TTTCCAGTAATTTACAATATGTTCTTTAAAAAGTATTTGATACCTTCCTTTCTTTCCATCGGGTTATGATATTTAGCACTGGAGGAGGAAGCAAATATAGAGCATTCTATTAAGGCCCAATACTGGGGAGGAAAAAACAGTTGAATCTGTTTCAAACCTGGGTTGCTTGGTCACTGTGGACCATGCATGACCATTTTTCTACCCATGTTTTCTACCATCAAACTATTACTCCTGGTCCACACAGGCCAGGGAACTTGTTGTTTAAACATGTTAGCCTGTACTGGTTTTTAAAAAAACTGTTTAAAAAGAGTTCAGATGTACTTTTATTTGGGAATGATGAAAAACTCACAAGTAACTATTGAACCAGTTACAAAGATCTAATTCCATGTGCGATAATGATACAAACAGAGTTTACTGTCTTCTCTTGTTCTATGGCAGTAATCTCCATTTCTAAGTGCTTTAATCCATTTTGTTCTGTTACTTCTAAAATAAAGAAAATCTAAGACTATACTATGCAAAAATACCAAATCTCCGCTGTGCTTAGATTCATTTTCTGACTCCTTGTCAGAGGAAAGTGACATGAATTCTCAGTAGATACTTCTTCCAACTGAATATCTTTGTTATGAGTAAGAGCATACTTAAACGATGAATTAAAACAATAAGAAATTAAAGTAATGTCTGGGAAATAATTATAATCCTGATTCAAGAAGTAAATATAGTTCCCCCTGCCGCATTTCTGCATTGGAAGAGGTGATAAAAATGGAGTGGGAGTTTTCCAGTAAAAGCAAAAAGTTTAACAGAAAGCACGCGTCAGGGTTCCCTCCCAACTCTGAATTCTGGGATACAGATATGGGGACCCGCATGAAAGATCCCTCAGCGTATTTCCACCAGCTTAGGTTAAAAACTTCCCCACGGCACAAATCCTTTCCTTGTCCTTGGATGGTATTGCTGCCACCACCAAGTGATTTAGACAAAGATTCAGGAAAAAGACCACTTGGAGTCCCTATTTCCCCAAAATATTCCCCCAAGCCCCTCCACCCCCTTTCCTGGGGAGGCTTGAGAATAATATACTAACCAATAGGTTAACAAAGTGAGCACAGACCAAACCCTTTGGTTTTTAGGACACTAAAAATCATCAGGTTCTTAAAAGAAGAACTTTATTATAAAGAAAAAAGTAAAAGAATCACACCTTCAAAAATCAGGATGGAAGGTAACTTTACAGAGTAATAAAAGATTTAAAACACAGAGGATTCCCCTGTAGGCTCAACTTTAAAGTTACAAAAACAGGAATAAACCTCCCTCCTAGCATAGGGAAAACTCACAAGCAAAAACAAAAGATAATCTAACGCATTTCCTTGCTATTACTTACAATTTCTGTAATTTTAGATGTATCATTTCAGGATCTTTTTAGGAGCTGGTTTACCTTCTTGGTCTCTCTCTCTGTCCCAAGAGGGAATCAACAAAGAGAGCACAAACAAAACTTCCCTCCCCTTCTCCCCAGATTTGAAAGTATCTTCTTTTCCCATGGGTCCTTCTGGTCAGGTGCCAACTAGGTTAATTGAACTGATTAATCCCTTACAGGTAAAATGATGCTGTACCTCTAGCCAGGAGAGAATTTATGTTACTGTATACATAAAGGTTGTTACCCTTCCCTTTATTTTTATGACAGCATGTAAATCTGCAGATTCTAAAAAATAAATTATCATGCAGCAAGAGGAGACTACAGCCATCTATTTGGCAGGCAAAAGATTTAGGATTCTCCAAGTCTGAAATTTTCTTGAAAGAGCAACTGGTCAGGAGAAAAGAGAAAGATTTCAGATGAAAATGAGAAGCAACTGTTTCTATGCATATTCAGAAATCTACGGTGTGCATGTGTTTTTGAAAAGTTGTTTTCTGAGCTAACCAAGAAGTTAAACTGAGTGTGGGATTGTGGGAATTCCACATAGGCTCCTTCCCTTCCCTTCTTAAAACACTTTCTTGTGGGAGAGTGCCAACAAGGAGAATCCTACTTGTACTCCTGTATGCAGTGCATCCACAGCAGTGCCAGCAACATCAAAATGAAACTGATTAGGATTGTAACTACTGTATAGTCCATGTTAGCTGTGTTTCTTGCTAGTGTTGCTGAAAAAGGGTTAAGTGGAGGAAGTACTTTCTTGAGGAGGTTAATGGGAGCAGGAGGAAATTGATAACTTGTTGAAAGAAGTGTGCTGCCCTGGTGGTCTGTGGGCAGTACCTATTAATTTGGGATCTTGATAATTATCTCACTCAGCAGGCGAACATGGTCTGGGAGCATTATGGAAGCAACATGCTTGGCCACTGGATGGATGAGGTATACTGTGTGCCTCTCTCTAGTGATGCCTGCTGGCTGAATAGAATAAACATGATTGATTATAGTACTATGAGTATATGCAGTGTAGTTGTAGCCATGTCAGTCCCAGGATATAAAAATAAATAAATTAAAATAAATTAATGGAGATATCCTATCTCCTAGAACTGGAAGGGACCTTGAAAGGTCATTGAGTCCAGCCCCCTGCCTTCACTAGCAGTACCAAGTACTGATTTTGCCCCAGATCCCTAAGTGGCCCCCTCAAGGATTGAACTCACAACCCTGGGTTTAACAGGCCAATGCTCAAACCACTGAGCTATCCCTCCCCATGAGATGAGTGAGGTAATATCTTTTATTAGACGAACTTCTGTTGGTGAGCGAGACAAGCTTTTGAGCCAAACAGAGCTCTTCTTCAGGTCTGGGAAAGGAACTCCCAACATCACAGCAAAATACAAGGGGGTGGAACAACAAGGAGATTGTTTAGCAAAAGTAATTAGCACATATTGTAAAGGACATTCAAGGTAGAGTAGCCCGTTAACACCACTGCAGTCATAAGACAAAGAGAGGGGGTTAGTGGGTTACAAGATTGTTGTAATAAGCCATAAATCCAGTGTCTCTGTTCAGTCCATGATTTTTGGTGTCTAGCAGAGTAATGAATTTAAGTACCCAGGCTCACCTTTTGAAAGTGTTACATAAGAACGGCCATACTGGGTCAGAACAAAGGTCCATCTAGCCCAGTATCCTGTCTTCCAACAGTGGCCAATGCCAGATGCTTCAGAGGGAATGAACAGAACAGGTAATCATCAAGTGATCCATCCCGTCGCCCATTCTCAGCTTCTGGCAAACAGAGGCTAGGGACACCATCCCTGCCCACGCTGGCTAATAGCCATTGATGGACCTATCCTCCATGAATTTATCTAAATTCTTTTTTGAACCCTGTTACAGTTTTGGCCTTTACAACATCCTCTGGCAAGGGGTTCCACAGGTTGACTGTGCATTGTATGAAGAAATACTTGCTTTTGTTTGTTTTAAACCTGCTGACTATTTCATTTGGTGACCCTTAGTTCTTGTGTTATGAGGAGTAAAACCTGTTGTGCAAAAACAACAAGGAGTCCGGTGGCACCTTAAAGACTAACAGATTTATTTGGACATAAGCTTTCGTGGGTAAAAAATCTCACTTCTTCAGATGCGTGGAGTGAAAGTTATAGATGCAGGCATTATATAATGACGCATGAAGAGAAGGGAGTTACCTCACAAGTGGAGAACCAGTGTTGATAGGGCCAATTCGATCAGGGTAGATGTAGTCCACTCCCAATAATAGATGAGGAGGTGTCAATTCCAGGAGAGGCAAAGCTGCTTTTGTAATGAGCCAGCCACTCCCAGTCCCTATTCAAGCCCAAATTAATGGTGTTAAATTTGCAAATGAATTTTAGTTCTGCTGTTTCTCTTTGAAGTCTGTTTCTGAAGTTTTTTTGTTCAAGAATAGTTACTTTTAAATCTGTTATAGAATGTCCAGGGAGATTGAAGTGTTCACCTACTGGCTTTTGTATGTTACCATTCCTGATGTCCGATTTGTGTCCATTTATTCTTTTACATAGGGACTGTCCGGTTTGGCCAATGTACATGGCAGAGGGGCATTGCTGGCACATGATGGCATATATAACATTAGTAGACGTGCAGGTGAATGAGCCCTTGATGGTGTGGCTGATGTGGTTGGGTCCACCGATGGTGTCGCTTGAGTAGATATGGGGACAGAATAGGCAACGAGGTTTGCTACAGGGATTGGTTCCTGGGTTGGTGTTTCTGTGGTGTGGTGTGTAGTTGCTGGTGAGTATTTGCTTCAGGTTGTGGGGTTGTCTGTAAGCAAGGACTGGCCTGTGAGATCCCAAGGTCTGTGAGAGTGAGGGATCGTTTTCCAGGATAGGTTGTAGATTGTTGATAATGCGCTGGAGAGGTTTTAGCTGGGGGCTGTACATGATGGCCAGTGGTGTTCTGTTATTTTCCTTGTTGGGCCTGTCCTGTAGTAGATGATTTCTGGGTACCCATCTCACTCTATCAATCTACAAGATCTTTATCAAGCATTCTTAAAACTACAATACCCACCTGGGGAAGTGAGGAACAGATTGACAAACAATTGCACCTTGTATTTTGCTGTGATGCCTGGAGTTCCTTTCCCAGACCTGAAGAAGAGCTCTGTTTGGCTCAAAAGCATGTCTCTCTCACCAACAGCTGTTGGTCCAATAAAAGATATTACTTCACCCACAGTGTCTCTCTACTATGAGTATAGTCAGTTTCATTCTACAGCTGTTGCCTTTGAGAAATTGCTGTGAGACAGACACAGGTGGGAGGTGGTCAGTGAGGGATAATCCAAGGGAAGAAGAGATGCGGAAAAACCGGGGGAGGAAAATGCAGATGAATAATCAAAGGGTGGGGGACAGAAAGTGGTACTGGTAATTGGTCTTGTAGACTAGATAAAACAACCTCTGTAATAACATCTTCCCCAATTCCCTTCCTCCCATTCTCTCTGCTTCCCAAGAATCTTAACTCTTATCCATCTGGAAGAATTTTGAGGGGGAAGGAATTTCCCTGAACAAAAATTATTAAATTGGAACTTGTCTGTAGTGATGCTAATGTTACATTTAATGTAGCTTTTTGACTGTGCATTGATTTTCAGAGTTCCTACCACGTGCTTACTTTATGTGATTAGAAGTCCAAAGGTTGAGTGATAGTCAGCACTGCTGGGCAAAATGTCTTTACTGAGTACTGGTAAGTTAACTATTTCAAAGTCCTGAAAATTCTGACAGTGAACACATAGATAACTGAGTAAGTTAATTAGAGTAACGTATTGAGATTATTAAGCAGTTGAAAGCATTGCTGATATGGGTCATAGGCTGAGGATGCCCCTTGGTTTTGAATTGTATTGCTTATCTATTTGAGTGGCAATGGAGCCTTGTGGGCATAGGGCTGGGAGCTAGAAGCTACTGAGATCTAATCCTCACTCAGGTACTGACTTGCTGTGTGGGCCCAGATAAGTCATTTAACTTGTCTTGGTTGATTTCCTCATCTATCAAATGGGTCTGATATTTACCTACCTCCACAGGATGGTGTGAGAATGAATTAATGTAAATGTGTACATTATTTTGAAAATATAAGCATTATTAAATACTATTCAATAAACAAAATATCATTCATTACCCTGAGATTTCCCCCTATTCTAAATTGTTTCGGTTGTGTTGATAATAAAATAGGCCTGGGCATTCATAACTTGATTCTTGATACAATTGATGTTCTCATATTTTCTCAAACCAGCACAGGGAACTTAGTATTAAAGGGAGTTTCACAGCTAAGTTGTGTGTTGATTTGGAGTACAGGCTCCCCTTAGTCATGAAAGAGTCAGAGTATGCTCAAATACAGCAGATCACCCACAGAGATATGCACAGGTATATGAGAAATTGAAGCACATACAAAATGCTTTTGATTTGGTTATTTTTAATGTAGTATTAAGGGCTCATTTCCTGACTGCTTTAGGACAAATGAAGAGAAAATGGGAAGAAAGATTGAAGAATGTTGATGAACTAGCGTCTCGATATAAAAGAAAGCCACTTTGCCCTGTTTACAGGCCACAGCTGTCCAAACCATGGCAACCATGCTCTGTTTGGAATCTGTTTCGTCGACAAGCTCAAGCTTTTAACTATGCAAAAACCTGTAAGGAGGTAAGATATTAAATTGTTAGAAGGGTGTCTTCACTATTTAGAAACTTCATTTGTAAAGTTCTATTAACCTACAAAGTTCACTTCAGGCTTCAGGATTCTTTTGTTGTGCGGTCCTGATACATCAGGCAATTTTTTTCCCTTACAGGTCAACATGATGCATAAGTTGTAATACGCAGTAGTTCCAACATTAGACTGAGTTATTAGCTGTAATGAGGGCTAGTTCTAACATAAGACTCTAGATGTGTTGTTAATGTTTAATAGTAAAAGTGCTTGTGGGGAAGAAAGACCAAAGTGGTGGGATGTGACAAGGAAGGTCTGGCAAATGATGTAGATGAGGGAAAGAGCCAAAATGGCAAGAGGAAGCAGAAGAATGGGAAAGGAGTAAAAATCAAGTAGGAAGGAAGGAGAGAGAAGAGGACAGAGAATGAGGAAAGAAGAGGAAAAACAGAGAAGGTAAGATATAAAAGAGGTGGAGATGAATGAAAAGAGAGGCAAAAATATATCCCACAAGAGAGAGGCAACAGCTCAGGCACCAAGAAGTGAAAGAGAAGAACCAGATCACCTGAAATGAAACCTCAGCCTAAGGTGTAACTGTTTCTGAAAGGATGAGCTAATTATTTATTTGTAATTACCTACATTTCATACTCTGCAACTTGATTGCCTGTTTTTAAAAAGAACTGTGGAATGTGCAATTTCCTTCTGCCATTTCAGCTATCCCGATAATTCTGCAGGTCTGACCTATTTCTGTATATTACACTAACATTTAATGCCTGTCAGCGATATCCAGTAAAAGCACCCAGTGGTGTTGAAAGAATTTGCAACACTCTGTGCCCAATTCTCGTTGCTCCATAAAGCAACACAGTCATCTCCTCACCTAGACAAAGAAATGATGCTATGTTGTGGTAGGAGGCATGAGGGCACATGTAGGCTCTTGAGGAGCCCTAACAGGTCTGGGGAAGAGGGGATAAGGAATGTTGTGATTCAAACAGGTATCCTTGTCACATGGCGGTTGTAGTAAGGAATTGTAGATCATTAACTAGTTTAAAATCAGCAAGGGGAAGAAAGGCAGAAAGAAGCCAAAGTTCACTATATTTAAAAATAGGGATTTTATATTAAAGTACCATATTAGGTGAATTACTTTGACTTAGAAAGTCAAGGTAACAAAATTCAGGTAATATTTATATCTGTCCTTCTAAAGACCCAGGGAGAAAGTGTCAAAAACACAAATGGCAGTTAAATGAAAATCTCCACCCACCCTGTTTTATAGCATGAGAAGTCCTGGCTTGATCTGAAGTCTAGCGGCAGCACTTTGACATGGCTTGTGTAGTCGTGGCATAGCACTGGGAGAGAGCTCTCATAGCGCTGTAAAAAACCCACCTCTATGAGGGGAGTAGCTAACAGCGCTGCTGCCCACCTATCAGCAGGCACAGGTCATTGAGAAGAACTTATTTGACCCTTCTGGCACCAGACAGGATGTAGTCTTGAGGGGGAGGCAATGTGATGGGGTGCACCGGGGGCGTGGTTCAGGACTAACTAAGAGTATGTCTACATTACCCATGTTCCAGCACGGCCACGGCAGCGCTGTGACGTGGGCAGTGTAGACACGCTTTATCGCCAGGGGAGAGCTCTCCTGGCGATTAAAAGAAAAAAACACCCCGAACAAGCAGCGGTAGGTTTATCGCCGGGAGCACAGCTCCCAGCAATAAAGCACTGTCTATACTGGCGCTTTTCAGTGCTAAAACTTTTGTCGCTCAGGGGGGTGTTTTTTTCACACCCCTGAACGACAAAAAGTTTTAGCGCTGAAAGTGGCAGTGTAGACACAGCCTAAAAATAAAGCCCAGTTGGAGGAGAGCAGGTTTGTCTCCATAAAGAATCAGGAAAGACCAGGTGGGAAGTGCTCTCTCCCTGGGAAGTAGCTGAAAAGAAGGTGGAGGGAGTGGGGGAGGACCAGACAGGTTCTCCAGAGGCAAGCCGAAAGCCTGGCTGAGATGGGGTTCCTGGTGAGCTGGAGCCTGCCATAAACTATTAGTTAAGGAGAAGTGTTCCGGCCCGTGGACTGGTGGGTTGAGCGAATGGGAGAGGAGAAAGAACAGTGGTCCTCAGCACAGGTGTACCTCTGTTGCTGCTGTCTGCTGAACCCAGCCTGGCTGAAGGTTTGCTTTCAATACATTTTGTTGTTGTTCTTCTTTAATAAAGGACTTTGTGACCCTGTAAAGTGATCTGACTGCAGGGCCAAATCACTCTGATGGTCAGAGGAGGCCACAGGACTATGTGTAAGGGAGAGGAAACTGAGGCACAGCTGCTGCAATGCCACAATTGGCATGGCAAGTTTGCCACAAGTAGTTTCTGGCATTACATCTCTCCTTCAATCCCCCAGTTTTTGTTGCCTTTACAATCATATCTTCTTATTTTAAGACATTTTTCCTCTCCACTCTTACCTGCATATCAAACCCACACAGATAACAGGGAGAACTGACTAAGGATCCTATCCTGCAGTTAGTTCCATGCAGACTGATCCTCTGAGAAGCCCCATTGATTTAAATGGAGCTTGGTGCAGGGATCTGCCCGTGCAGAGCTTGCTGCAGGATCAGGGTCTGACTCACTATAGCGGGGAACAGTGCATATAACAAAGTGCAAAGTAAAATATTTTGAGACAGGTGTTACTAACCAACTCTTCAAATGTCATGAATTTCATTATAGAAGTTATGACTGTGTCAAAGTGGTTTCCTAATTATGTTGCGGTTTGGGAGCATTTTTCTCTGTAGGGTCACCTCTGGTTTTTCATATAGTATATAATCAAAAAAATGGTTTGGACATCATTTTGCTTGATTTAGGTCATATGCTGCTTCTCTCTTCAATGAGAATCCTCTTCTCTGTACACTGTTTCTCTTCCAATTGATGTTACTAGGTAAATACCACTTGAGGGTTTGATTCAGATCTCAGTTACATCAATGCAAATCCATAGTAGCTTTATTGACTTCAGTCAGCTGCTCAAGAATTATGCTGGTGTAATTTAAATGAGAAGCAGGCTCTTAATTAGCAATAAAAGGGACTTAGGTTTTAAAGAAAAAAAAGCCTAAGCCATCCTTTGATAGGTTGTTACTAATTAGAAAATAATTACTAACCTTTGATCTGAGAAATTAATTTCAAGCAAAAGATTTTGATTAGTGATCTGAAAAAGGAAACGTTAACTCTTTCTTTTAATTTAAAAAGGATGTTCATGTATTTGCTTTGGAAATGAAAACAGAAGATGGACAAAGGTATTATCTTGTGACAACATATACAGAGTTTTGGTTTTATTACAAGTGAGTATTTTGAAAAAAGTACCTCTCAGCGGCTTTAAACTTCATCAGGGCTGGGGCTGGTATAGACCAGCTCTTAGAAAGCAGAGCACCATAACTGGCTCCCTGACACTGATCCCCTCAAATGTGCTACAGTGCTTGACCACTGAAGAGAATTGGTATCCATAGTGAACAATCATCATCATTCTGGTGCATCAGCAGATAAAATAATTACATCTCCATGAACCATTTTATATATAATTCTTAACAGTCGTTTAACAGAAACATATCACACGATCAAGTTCTGATACTGAAATGTCTAGTAAAGGTCTACAGTCAACTTAAAAAATAAAAATGTTTCAGCAATAACGCATCTGATTATTAAGTGACAGATTTCTAAAAATCCAAATTTTTTATTTAAGCTCTTTACATTTTGCATTTCTCTCAGTTTGGATATCAAAATTCAAAGAAGTTGGTTTCACTTTCATGTATAGTTTTACTTTAAGGTTCTCAGCACTAATGGATTTATTGTTTAAAATTACTGTTTCCATTAGTTATTTTTATTCATGAAAACATATCTGTTGGTCTTAGGTGTTTGTAAGAATTTATTTTTTACAAAATCTAAATTTTAGGCTAAATGTATATTTATGGTGTTTCTTTAATTAGTCACAAAATTCATACTTTACGTTGTTCAGAACATAGTAGGGCTAGTCTTTAAAACATTTCAACAAGTGTTTCACTAAAGAGGAATAAAAATCTTTAGTTTTTTGAATTATTGTTCATAAACATGGGTGATGATTCTTGACTACTTTCTGTTTAGCAAAGAACATAAAACAAGTCTTATGCATTGCTATGAAGTTATTCCTGAAAAAGCTGTTTGCAAACTGTATTTTGATTTGGAGTTCTATAAACCAGTGAATCCTGAAGCTGATGGCAAGAAGATGATTGCAAAGTTAATTGAGGTAAAACTGGAACAATAATTAGAATATAACATATTGTAGGTCTGTCTGTCTTGTTATGGGCCTTAATGTGGATCAAAGAGAGAATAAAGTGAACAAATTTTCCTTATAGTTATTCTAAAGCTCAAGTTATCACAAATAAAATGAAAATTGATTACATTTTTAGAGAAAATTAGAAACGCGTGTTTAGATATTGCTAGTTAAAGCAAAGTTTTTCTGGTTTTCCTGCTTTAGAGGAACAAGAGGCAAATGGTGGTTGGTATGACAGCATGTTCACCATAGGCCTGTGACATAGTAATTTCTCTTTCATGATATTGCCTCTGTAGAGTCACACTGGTGGATTATGTGCCCTGATACAAGAGCCATAGAACCAAAGAAAGCAGTAAAATTGTTAGGAAGCCTACAGGCATGCTCCTGGGCTCTAACAAAAGATTTCACCCTCTATTTTTCCCTCAGTTCTTCTTTATCCAGTTGTTTCAAGTCCCTTTTTTCCCCAGTGTGGTTTTTATTAAGCTTAGGCCTTTTCTGATTGTTATATAGAGTCACTCCTTGTTAGTTAATGGTTTTATTAATTAGCACAAATGTTGTTTTCATATGGATTTGGTTTGGCTTATGGTGGGCCAGGACATTATCTCCAATGTGGCAGACAAAGAGACTAAAACGAGCTTTCAGAAATACACCTCCTTCTCTAGTAAAATATCCTGTCTCAGATAAGAAGTACGGAGGTTTAAGAGCATTCATCATCCTAAGAGCCTTGTGCATGCCTCTCGATAGGAAGGAAAGAAGCCACACACTGAATGAGGCCTTTTCTCTTGGAGGAGTCCTTAGAGGATCCACCTCCTTTGTAGGCATGAGAGTCAGTTCTGAAATCTAAGGGATCCTCAAAATTAAAGGAGGAGATTGTTCGATCCAAAAGGAGGGATCTGAGGTCCCAAGATCTGAAGCTTTTGGACTTCTTGGATCTAAGGTCTTCACTCTGGCCCTAGATATAATGTGACTAAGTTGTCATAGGTTTGGATTGTAGAGTCTTCAATGCTGGTTTTCACTGGAGCTGTAAACTGTACTTTGGAAGCAGTGTAACAGAAAAATTATAGATGAGGCGGTATATTAGGCTTTTAGGTGAGAAACTGGAAATTTGCAACAGTCTGCTACTGGTACCATAATCATACACTTATGCAATTTATAAGGTAAAATATGTGTTTGTATTTTGGTTACAATTTAATAAGCCATGAAACTTCATAGTCTAAAAAAACTGTATGTTCAAAAATAACTTTGAAATGAATGAAGACATAAAATCTGCCCTTCTGTCACGATTTATGGGTACCTTTTTAGTTATTAAAAAAACAGAAAAAATAGCCTAATTATTTTTATTTTTCAGCTTGTTAGTAAAAAGCTGGAAGAACTTTATGGAGTTAAATGTTCAGTTGAAGATGTCTTGAACTTAGATTCCAGCACTGATGAAAAATTTAGCCATCACTTAATATTTCTGCTTTACAAGACAGCATTTAAGGATAATATTCATGTTGGTAAGCATATTTTCTTATTTCTAGTACATATAAAAATTCCACACATTTCCTTTTTATCGTAATAGTACAATCAAGCATTCAGATATGGTAATGGGGACCATAGGTGGAAACAAATATATATTTCCAGTTACATATTTGTGTTTTATTGTGCTTCAACTGATTTCCTGCTCATGTATTTTCTTTTGTTTTCTGTGACTAGTTGTGCAATTTCTCGTCAGCCTTCTACTTCAAGGAAACAGCTACTGTGTGTGTGTGTGTGTGTGTGTGTGTGTATACTGTATTTACAGAACAAAGACATCACAAAAGCTGGTAAAAGGCTTGATGGTGGTTTTACAGTTGCTTACTTATTTTGTAGGTTAAGGTATGTTTTTTTGTTTTTTTTAATTGGCCAAAGTTAAACTTTATTGGCCAGATTCTTGAGTCCAGCTGAGCTATGTTCAGCCCAAGACCTTAGTGAAAGGGCAAAGGCATAGCTTAAAGCTGCCTTTGCATTAGCCTGATCTAGGGAACAGTGGGAAGCTCTTTGGTTCTTGACATAAGTTGGAATGTCTTCTAGGCTACAACAGCCCCTCATGGACCATTTTGCCAACCCAGGATTGCCAAAGCACAGTGGACTCCAGTCACACACTCTGATGCCACTTACTCTTGTGGGGCTTGGAGGAAGTGGTGTAGTGTCTCCATAGCTAGCTTTGGGCTAGCCAGAGAGTTTGCTATGCAAGGGGAACATTCAGCTGTCCTTCAGGGAAGCTTTCTGGCTAAGTGCTCTGGAACGATACAAAGAAGCCAGACTGGAACCAAGAATCTGGCCCTAAATGCCCCTGTTGGCCCTTATCTTGCACCCATTGAACTCACTGGGAGTTTTGGTATTGACACCAGTGGGATTACAATAAAATCTTTCATTTAGTAAGAGTAAGAAAAGCTGCCTGGGAGTGATTTGAGAGCACAGGAGAGACAGGCTCCTTGCTCTCAGGCCTTGGCTACACTTGCGAGTTGCAGCGCTGTAAAGCCGCCCCCAGCACTGTAACGCACTCCCCGTCCACACTGGCAAGGCATTTGCAGCGCTGTATCTCCGTGGTTGCAGCGCTGCATGTACTCCACGTCCCCGAGAGGAATAGCGAGTATTGCACTGCCGCTGCAGTGCTGCGGCGCCAGTGTGGCCGCCCAATGCGCTGTGACTGGCCTCCAGAAGTATTCGGCAGTATCCCACAATGCCTGTTCTAGCCACTCTGGTCATCAGTTCAAACTCTACTGGCCTGGCCTCAGGTACCAATCATGTGATCCACTCTTTACATTCCCCGGGAATTTTAAAAATCCCCTTCCTGTTTGCTCAGCCTGGCGTGGCGTGGAGTGCTATCAGCGAATCTTTCCAGGTGACCATGCCTCCACGCGCCAAGCGAGCCCCAGCATGGAGCAATGGCGAGTTGCTGGACCTCATCAGTGTTTGGGGGGAGGAAGCTATACAGTCCCAGCTGCGCTCCAGCCGTAGGAATTATGATACCTTCAGGAAGGTATCAAAGGACATGATGGAAAGGGGCCATGACCGGGACGCCCTGCAGTGCAGGATTAAAGTGAAGGAGCTGTGGAGTGCCTACCGCAAAGCCCGCGATGCAAGCGGCCGCTCAGGTGCTCCCCCCGCGACTTGCCAATTCTACAAAGAGCTGGATGCGATACTTGGGGTTAACTCCACCTCCACTCCGAGCACCACCATGGACACTTCAGAGCCGGTGGGGGAGGAGGAGGAAGAAAACGGGAGTGAGGGTGGTGGGCCGGATGGAGACACCCCGGAATCCCTGGAGCCATGCAGCCAGGAGCTCTTCTCGAGCCAGGAGGAAGGTAGCCAGTCGCAGCGGAGGACAACAGAAGAGCAGGTTCCCGGTAAGCGGGTTTTTTTTCCGGAAGGAATTTTTTCGGTGCGGGCTTTTTGGAAGAGGAGGGTTAGGCATGCATGCCTAGATGCGGAATAGTGCATTGATGTGGTTTATCACATCGCGGTAATCGGCCTCGGTAATCTCCTCGAATGTCTCATCCAGAACGTGTGCAATGCGCTTGCGCAGGTTTATCGGGAGAGCCACCGTGGTCCTTGTCCCAGCCAGGCTAACGTGTCCGCGCCACTGTGCCGCGAGGGGCGGGGGGACCATTTCTGCACACAGGCAAGCTGCATATGGGCCAGGGTGGAAGCCGCATTGCAGTAGAAGACCCTCCCTTGCTTCCCAGGTCACCCTCAGCAGCGAGATATCATCCAGGACGAACTCCTATGGAAAATGTTGAGACAGTGTTCAGTGTAGGTGCCCCCTGAAGCTGTTGGCTCTCCCCAAGGCACAGAAACCCAGAGGACAGTGCAGCCCTGAAACAATCAGTCCCCCTTACTCACCATTTTGAGGCTCCCGTGGGATATGTGTGCTCTGTTTCGGACGGGAAAATTATGCTATTGTGTAGACCCTGTGTGTTTTCCACTCCTTAAGTGCGGGGGGAATCATTACTCTGTCTGGTATAAACAATGCTGCCTCTGTTAAATGTTGCATTTTGCCTATACAGCTGCATCAACCTTGAGACCTCAGCCGTCCCTCTTATCGCCTGCTCAGAGACTGCAAAGACTCAGGAAGAGACCGCGAAAAAGCAAAGAAGACATGCTGCAAGAAGTGATGTGGCAATCTATTAAAGAGAATGAGAAAGCACAGAACTGGAGGGAGAGAGAAAGCAGGATCCGCCAGAAAAACGCAGCGCATCAGCGGCAAAGCACGGAGCACCGGCAGCAAAGCACGGATCACCTCATAAGCATCCTGGAGCGCCAAGCAGACGCTATCCAGGAGCTCGTAGCCATGCAGAAGGAGCAGTACCGCAAACGCCACACACCCCCCTACAGCCCTTGTCCCAAAACTCTTTCCGTTGTGCCCCACTGTCACCTCCAACCCACTTTCCCCAACTTCCGTGTTCTTCACACCACCAGCTGCCTCCAACACCAGTATCTTCACCACCCAGCCCTGAAAACCATGACCCTTACCCTCTGCACTCAACCCCCATCACCATGCAGTATAGCTATCCTGAAGTGCAGCACTCACTGCACAGCACACCAGACAGGACATACGCGAATCTGTGATTGTACCATTCCCCACTCCACCCCCTTGTTTCTTTTCAATAAATGGATTTTTTGGCTTTGAAAACATTCTTTATTATTGCATAAAGTAAAAGACTCTTTAGCCCAGGAAATAAACAGGCACTGCAAGTCTGCTTCTTTGCTTAGCAAACACTGATTCCTAAAGATTGGAACTACTGCACTTCACTCCTGTGCAGGGCACCAGATATCACTGCTGGTTTTCAGCCTCAAATTGCTCCCTCAAGGCATCCCTAATACTTGCAGCTCCGGGCTGGGCCCCTGTAATAGCCCTGCTCTCTGGCTGTGCAAATTCAGCCGCCAGGTGTTCAACCTCGGAGGTCCATGCCTGAGTAAAGCTTTCACCCTTCCCTTCACAAATATTATGGAGGGCACAGCACGCGGATATAACCGCAGGGATGCTGTTTTCGGCCAACTCCAGCTTCCCATACAGAGATCGCCAGCAGCCCTTTAAACGGCCAAAGGCACACTCCACAGTCATTCAGCACCGGCTCAGCCTGTAGTTGAACTGTTCCTTGCTGCTGTCAAGGCTCCCTGTGTAGGGTTTCATGAGCCAGGGCATTAACGGGTAAGCGGGATCTCCAAGGATCACAATGGGCATTTCGACTTCCCCTACCGTGATCTTCCGCTCTGGGAAAAAAGTCCCGGCCTGCATCTTCCTGAACAGCCAAGTGTTCCGAAAGATGCGTGCGTCATGCACCTTTCCGGGCCAGCCTGTGTTAATGTCAATGAAACGCCCATGGTGATCCACAAGCGCCTGGAGAACCATAGAGAAATACCCCTTCCGATTAACGTACTCGGATCCTAGGTGGGGTGGTGCCAGAATAGGAATGTGCGTCCCATCTATCGCCCCTCTACAGTTAGGGAACCCCATTTGTGCAAAGCCATCCACTATTTCCTGCACGTTACCCAGAGTCACGGTTCTTCTGAGTAGGATGCGATTAATGGCCCTGCAAACTTGCATCAACACGATTCCAACGGTTGACTTTCCCACTCCAAACTGGTTTGCGACCGACCGGTAGCTGTCTGGAGTTGCCAGCTTCCAGATTGCAATAGCCACCCGCTTCTCCACTGGCAGGGCAGCTCTCAATCTCGTGTCCTTGCGCCGCAGGGTGGGAGCAAGCTCCTCACACAGTCCCATGAAAGTGGCTTTTTTCATCCGAAAGTTCTGCAGCCACTGCTCGTCATCCCAGACTTCCATGACGATGTGATCCCACCACTCGGTGCTTGTTTCCCGAGCCCAAAAGTGGCGTTCCATGGTGCTGAGCATGTCCGTGAATGCCACAAGCAATTTCGTGTCGTATGCGTTACGCGGCTCGATAGCATCGTCGGACTCCTCACTCTCACTGTCACTTTGGATCTTAAGGAATAGTTCGACAGCCAAATGTGACGTGCTGGCGAGATAAGTCAGCATACGCCTCAGCAGTTCAGGCTCCATTTCCTGCAGACAGATTGCGCTGCACAGAAACAGTTGAAAGATGGCGCCAAAGGTGGACGGAAACAAAGGGATTTCTGGGATGCGAAGCGATGCATCACAGGGCATTGGGACAGGACCCAGAATGCCCCGCACCCACGCCCCCTTCCCACAACCCACGGCGCCAGAATGACTCATAGACTTTAAGGTCAGAAGGGACCATTATGATCATCTAGTCTGACCTCCCGCATGATGCAGGCCACAAAAGCTGACCCACCCACTCCTGGAATAATTCTCTTCCTTGACTCGGCTGTTGAAGTCCCCAAATCATGATTTAAAGACTTCAAGTCGCAGAGAATCCTCCAGCAAGCGACCCCTGCCCCATGCTGCGGAGGAAGGCGAAAAACCTCCAGGGCCTCTGCCAATCTACCCTGGAGGAAAATTCCTTCCCGACCCCAAATATGGCAATCAGCTGAACCCCAAGCATGCGGGCAAGATTCCCCAGACAGACCCTCCGGAAAAAAGTTCTCTGTAGTAACTTTTAATATCCCATCATTGACCATTGTTACTAATTACCAGCGATGGTACATTATTGACCTATTGACTAAAATCACGTTATCCCATCAAACCATCCCCTCCATAAACTTATCAAGCTTAATCTTAAAGCCAGAGAGGTCTTTCGCCCCCATTGTTTCCCTCGGAAGGCTATTCCAGAACTTCACCCCTCTGATGGTTAGAAACCTTCGTCTAATTTCAAGCCTAAACTTCCCAACGGCCAGTTTATATCCACAGGTGCTCTGTGGGATAGCTGCCCATAATGCACCGCTCCCAATGGCGCAGCAAATGCTGCAAATGTGGCCATGACAGTGCGCTGGGCAGCTGTCAGTGTGGACAGACTGCAGCGCTTTCCCTACTCAGCTGTACGAAGTCAGGTTTAACTCACAGCGCTGTACGTCTGCAAGTGTAGCCAAGGCCTCAGTGTCAAGTGCGTGGCCTCACCTCAGCCTAAAGCAATAATTTCAGAGAAAGTCTGACTTTGCCCCTGCAGCCCTTGGCTGGAGCATGTGCTGTCACTCTGTGAGGATAGTACATACAGTCTGGTCAGCACTGGGAGCTGTGAGGGGATGGAGCATGCTCAGTGAAGACAGAATCTTTGGCAAATTTAGCAATAAAACTGTAAGAAGTGTCTACTGAGCATGTATGAACTGAGATTTTTTTCAGAGGTTGATAACTTGGCCAAATTTTTCACAGTACCAACCCTGTCTCAAAGGCCCCACCCTGCCAAATTTCAAGTCCCTGGTCCAAAGATGGGGGTGCTAGAGCTTCTCAGAGAAAAGGACAACAGAATTTTTTTTAATATTGCACAACGTATTTTCCCCTAACCTCAGTTTCATAAGCTAAATCGTTTTGGCTGAAACCTCTTTCCCCTGCCCCAAAAGAAAAAAAAAAAGAAAAACCAAGAAACCAGCTTGAGGCAGACACCTCATATGGAAAATTTCAAACCAAACAGATAAAAGACTGGCAAAGTTATAAGCAACTGCAAACAGATTCCTATAATGAGAAGTGTTGGGCAACCTTAATGTTAGGCAGTGCTACTAGCGTCACCCGGCATATAGCATAAGCAGTATATTGCTCATTATTTTCATTAAGATTAGTAGAAACAAATAACCATTTCTTCTCCATGTTCCCCCTCACCTTCCCCCCCCCCCCGTGACTCTTCTACTGCAACCACAAAAACAAAATGATTAAATATGATCATTAAATTCTTTATCAATCCAAAAGTTTGATTCTGTAACCTCTTTCTTATAAAGTTATTAAAGAATGTGTGGATCAAAAGTATTTTATTTAAAACTAATTTAAGCCTTGTGCTCTAGATAGCTAAGGGTAGAACAAAACCCATACTCTTTCAGTTTACTACATCAGCTATTTCCTTTCAATAACAGCACTTGAGCTATTACTTCCAGTCCATTGGTTAGGCTTTTCCTATCACCATTGTGAACTAAATTATTAACGCTGCTGGACAGTAAATGTTTGTGTTTAAATCAGTCATAGTTATAATAGATTTATAAGGACAGTATACAGAGTAAGCAGTAAATGGTTTATTCATTATTATTATTTTGCCTTCCTAGCAGTAATAGGAAACTAAATTTGCTTGTGATACAACGTGTCAGTTTTGTAAACAATGTTACTCTTTAACGCATTAAATATGAAACTCAGATTTAGTTAATCTCATAATCATCTACATGTCAAAACTGTTTGATTGTCTCTTGAAGATTAGCAGCTTTATAGTTTGAATAATTCAATTTTTAAATGTTGGGCAAAATGCCTAATTATCTACGGATTTTTACATAGAAAACGTCTATGAATACAGTTTGCTTGATACAGTGATAGCCAAGCATCTAAATATCAATCAGGAATTTTTGTATATGAAGAGAGAGGAAGGTCAACAGTTCAAATAAACTGTCCTGTGATATTAAAGCTATAAGCAATTTTCTCTCTCTTTTTTTAAATCAAGTATTTATTGTGGAATAGCAGTTAATGACTAATAGATTATTTAATCTATTATGTTTACAGTATAAATGATCACAACCTGTGTGTTCTCTGGGACAAACTAGAAAATGAAACTGCAATCTTATCCTAATAAAATTAATGAGTATTTTATTAGAATTTTTCTGTGTCAGAAATTCTGCAAAATAAGTAATATCCTAACATATTAAGTATGTTACTCTTCTACCAACTCTAAGAAGGAATTAAAGCAAAGGGATTAAATTCACAGCAGGTTTAAGCAAGTTCAACTCCATTGATATCAGTGGACTTGCACTCATTCATGCAAATAAAACACCTGTTGTTTAGGCTCCAAGCTGAAGTGGCTGATGCTCCCTCATATGCCACAGTACTGACCTGTTGTCCAGTCCTGCACTTATGCATGTGAGTAGTCCCATTGACATTACTATAAGTGATGTGTATAAGTGTTTGCAGAATGAGACTCCAATTGTCTAAGAGAGTGGAGCATCACTTTTGCTCACTGGGAATCTGGCAGTCTAATGGGAGATCCAAGTCCATAGTCAGATGTCAAATCCAAAATTCTGGCTCATGCTGATCATTGGCAGTCATTCATTACTAAAACCAGCACCCTATGTGCTCTAATCATGGATGAAGTACCAGACCGTGATTCTTATCACTAGTAGTAACAGTCTTTGGGCAATAGCCTGGGTGTCCTGTGCCCTGCTGTCAGGTTGGTAGAGAAGAGTATGGTTCTCCTTTGAAACCCTGCACAAGGCTTGTTTACTAGGACTTTGAACAGGTATCCAAGATTTTTTCCTCAATGTGAAACTTTGGTTAGAGACGCTGTAGTGACATTACTACACATTTGCCATTCACAACATGTTCAGTTTTATTATTTTGTTTGTTTTGAGGTAGTACCCAGAGTGTCAAGTACGACCAGGGTCCACTTGTGCTTGGTGCTGTACAAATATATAGAAACACATGGCTCCTTCCCTCAGGCGCTCACAGCCGTTAAGATGGTGAAGGGTGTGAGAGAATGATACAACCAAAATATGGACAGTTCTTGCATACCTGTTTTAACATAGTGAGATGTCTTAAAAAACAGCAGCACAAACTTTAGTTTCAACTAAAGTTAATGCCAAAACTTGGGCCTCCCATTTAGCAGTTTAAAGCTTTGGTTGTGCACCAGACTTAGGGAAAAGAGAGAGAAACTCTATCCATTTTTCATTTGAAAGTCTTTGCACAAAACATATTAAATGCATTTTTAACTTGTGACTAAAACAGATCCTGATCCGTTTCTTTTCTTCTTATTATTTTAAGGTAATTTTGTGAAAACAGTTTTGCAACCTGCTTTTGTTTTAACTGAAAATAAAGCTGATGCTCTGATTCTAGAAGACGGGGCGGACAGTGTTGCTTCCCAGTCTTCCAAAGCAACAGTTGAAATAGATGGTACTGTTGTAAGCCTTGGTGCAGCGAAGGAGGCTTCTGGGAAATGGCAATCTAATATGCACAAAACGCTGGAAAATGGAAAACTGCAACAGAAAGATAATCCCAATCTTTCCTTTCTAGTTGTGAATGATAAGGAGGGAGGCAAGCAACTTGTCGTCGATCTGGGTAAATATAAAAGTTAATTACTGACAGAATTCTGAGCCAAATTCTGCCATCTGATGCATGCACAGAAAATGTGGCCTGCGGGAAGGAGGCATTTGCATGCACATCTTAAGTGAGAATTTTGCTCCATATTATTTGTATTATATTCCTGTTAAGGTTGTGTACTGGAATGCAAGAAAGGTTAAGTAACCAGAGACGATTTATGCTTTGATCACAGCACTATTTGCACAGTGTTCTGTTTCCTGCTTAATGTACAGTAATATAATTAAGTACTAAACATACAACAAAATGCATGACGCAATTCAATAAAAATCAAACAAATGATCTTAAAAGGTGTATTTTAAATTTGGCCTTAAATATTGACATGCTTGTGGAACTTTTAATATTACTTGAGTTTCATAATGTTGTTCCACAGTAAATAAAAACTCTGTCCCTTGGAAACTTCAGTTTATCTTTAGGAACTCTCACTCCTTGATGATAAGGGGGACAATAGTTGCACGGGGTCATTGGTTCAGTTAAATGGGAAGTGGCATGATCATGAAGATGGGGGCTAGAGGGGCAGTCTGTTTGATAGTTGTGTATTTAAGATTTGTCATAGACTGCCTAAAGCAAGGGATGGGTACTCCTTTTTAATGGTGTGTATAAGTATAAAGAATGTATGATTCTGAACATCTTCTAGAGATAATTTAAAGTTAAGGCCTAATCCATTTGAACCTATTGAATAGAAACTGCAGAATCCGTAATTTTAGTATTTTAGTAAGCAAAAAAGCTTCTGCATTTTGAATGGTGTAGAAAATTCATGTGAATAAAATCAAATAATGACCAACAAGAAATGCCTTGTTCAAATATATTCACAGTCAATGACATACATGTAGCTTGTAAATTGCCCTACCCCCAAAAAAGTGAAGATCTGTGTGCAATTCCTGTGTATTGAGCAGAATTTCTCTTAAAAAATACAAATTCAAATTAATTGGAAAGCACGGACAGGTGGTCTACAATGACTTCTTTTTCCACAGTTTTCATTTTGGCTTCTGAATTGCTTTACTATGTTATCTTTCCCTGTGAAGTTTTGGAAGACTGGCTTATTGGTAACAATCTGGGTTTTTTTTTTTTTTTTTTTTTTTTTATTTGGTTCAGGTGAGTACAGTGACACAATAATACAGTGTTCTGGACACATCTATTTTTGTATTTGCCACAGAAAAGTTATTTTGTAACTACTCTCAGCAGTTTTCTTCCTTGAATAGCAGGTACCTAACTTCCAAGAGTTCGCTTGCACTGTTACTCTCGTTTTGGGGAACCAATGTAATAAAGTGCACTGTGACTGTAACTACGTTAATAACAGTAACTCCTGCAGAGACTAGTGAATAAAAAATAAGGTGGGAGGGTGCAGTTATGTGGCACACTAAGCTGATAACATGTGGTTTTTTTACTTTCGTTTTTGTTTTTAGTTCAGTGAACTAGAACATGGTGGGCTTACCACCCTAAATTACAAAATGATTGGTAGACAGAGACCAAGAACGAATTGGAGCAGGATATTGCAAGACAAAATTGGGGTGCAATATAGCAGTCATGCCAATGCTCTTAGTCCTTAAACTTTCTTGAGAACTAAATTCAGCTTCAGAGTTAAACAATTCTACACACACACACACACACACGAGTCTCAAGCAGAATTGCTCATACTTGCCAACCCATATTTGTTTTGAGATTGTGATGCGAATTGCATTTTTCTAACTACCACTCTTGTTGTTGAAGTGCGACTATGATATAGTCACACTGACACACAGAGAACAGGAAACTGATAAATTGCCAAACCATGTTTACAATGTAAAATAGTTACATGGTCTTTCATGCTAGGAAAAAGAACAATTAAACTGGAGAATGATCTGCAGAGATTTTGAAATAGTACCAAATAACTGTAGTGTATACTTAAAATGCCTGTATAGCAGTTTAGAGTGATTGTCCTTATACTTGAATATTATGGATAAATATATGGCTGCATGATTCATTTTTACCCTGCTATGTAACTCCTACTGTGAGAAATGAACTGGGATAAATAGAACCGTTTGTGTTTACTCCTTTAAATGCTTTTTTCCCTCAGACACCCAAATATAGTGTATAAACAGTACATATGAGGGAACCTAGCCAATTGTAAATACATTATGAAACCTCTCTCTCTCTCTCCCTGTAGGAGTTTATACAAAGAATAGAAATTTCCGGCTGTATAAGTCATCAAAAGCAGGAAAGCATGCGACTTTGAAAATAGCTGAAGATAACAAGTTTGTTCCTAAACCCAAAAAGAATATTTCTGTTGAGGAGCAATATTTCCTTTCCTCTTTGGTCTGTAATGTTAGGTAACAATTTAATTACAGTGGTATTTAAAGTACTTTAAAATGTAGACTTCAGTAGCAACCACTACTGTTGGGGGGGCTGACATTCCACTGAGACTGATGCATTCTATTCTAGGAAAGTTCAGCTATTGGGGTCAGCAGGTAACATTTTCTGATGGTTATTCCTTGAAGCAAAGATTTGTCAGACATCCCATCTGCTGCACCTAACTTCAAATGTGCAATAAGTTCAGAGAACGTGTGCCATTTGTGATGGTTTCTAAACTGCACTCTTTCTGTGTGTGTATGGGGAGAGAGGTTGTGTTTTGGGGTTTTTTAAAATTTTTTGTTTGAGATGAAGAATTTGACTTGTTCAAGGTTATTCTGCTGAGAAGTGCTACATTTCTATCATTGTAAATTAGGTAAGACTCTGAAATGGACCAAAATCCAAAACTGCCCCCACCAAACCATTTAAGAGAGAATAACTCCAATCTAGACACTCATTCTAAACACAGAAGAAAGCGAAAAGCATTATTTTGTGTGTAAACTTTAGTGAGCAACAGCAGTTTTCTTTAGTGCTGCACAAATATATGCAACACAATCTATTATCAAAAGAGGCTAAAGTCTAAGGACCTAATCCTGCAACGTACTGAGTGCTTTTTGGGAGATGTGAGGCAACCAAAATTGCTAATGACTTCAGTGCTCAGCACCTCACAGGATTGAGCCTCAGTTGAGCTACATTTATTATGGACTTTTGATTGTCATTTTCTCCTAAATATATTTTTAAAGATGCATATTACATTCAAAATTCCTGTAAATCTTTGGTTGTCATGGCCCTCCATTCGACAGATAGTTAAGCACCTGTCAGGGATGGTCTAGGTAATACTTAGTCCTGCCTTGAGTGCAGGGGACTGGACTAGATGACCTCTTGAGGTCCCTTCCAGTTCTATGATTCTAAGCATGTACCTAAATACCTTGCTGAATTGAGGCCTATATCCTATAGTATAATTAAAAAACAAACAAACCAGACTTCAGTGGAGTCATTCCTGAGTAAGGACAAGAAATGATCTGTTGTAGAATTTGGCCCTATATGATGGTTTGTCTTCATGCCAGAAACACAGCAAAGAAAAACCATAGTTCTTTGCAAATGATGATTCTAATTCTAAAAAGGTAAAGTGCAAGACTACTAAAAGCCATCCAAAAGTAAACAATACTTTTCAAGGACTACATATATAGCAAATAGGGCTAGAAGTAGTGCAGAGGATCCTG